TAGAAGAACAATTGTAATGATGTGTCTCCCTAGTGCCTTATTTCTAAGGCTTCAAGACCTTTATTGTGTATCAAGTCACAATGACTTTAATCAGTTGCTTGCTTACACATATAGGTCTTACTATACTCAAGAGAAATGATGGAGAAAATAACGAAGTTTGCTGACCTGACATGAAAGATGTTAACTGAAGGCAAAGAAATACTGTAGTGATCTTCCTAACTGTGATTAAGTAGGATCAAATGTGCTTTTGCTTAAAATGTCATATTCTCCATATTCAGCTCATATAAATGGAAGATAAGCTATGTAGTATAGAATTAAAATTAACAGTTACAATGGGAAAAAAAAGCAAACCAACAAAACAGCAAAGCTGAAGTAAGCCTTCATTTTATTTGCTCACCAATAGTTATTCTATACAAAATTTCTCTTGGACTGCAGTGAAAGCAAGTAAATGGGTTGAAACACAAAGGATATGGAAAATTAATTTCCTAACCTTTTTAGATTTCTAATGGAATAATTCTAACATTTTGAGCTCTGATTACTTACAAGATACTGAATGCTCAGCTTACTTCAGAGCAGAATAGTCCTTCAAGAAGATGAAATTTTGGTGGAAAGTTTCGTATTTGGGATAAAGAGAGAACAAAGCATATGTCTCTTTTTTTTCATATGGCAGATATTAGATGTTTTTGAAAAGCTGGAACTTTAAGGGCACATAACGAACAGTAGTCAACAAGCTGTGGCTGTGCAGAACCATTTATAGAAAGCCTGTTTGTTCCAGCTGGCATTTTATGTGGACATGCCAAACCTAGTGGCTTCTCTACAATCCAAGCTGCTTTAGCAATGCAGCACGAGTACTTGGAAGACAAGAAAATTTTGAAACATTTTTGTTTTAAACTAGTTGTTCATCTACAACTTTTTGTATCACCCAGTTCATTAATAATAGTAGAAAGTTTGATATTTTAGGCATACACATTTGGCAATGCTTTATATGAAAAACTTCAGTATAAAAAGCAAATGTTTTGACTTTTAGGAGAAGAAGGTGTACCTCTCTCAACACTCCTTCAACATCTACTGTGTTGAATTACTTATTATATGATGTGATGATATGCAATACCTCTAAGCTGTGGAAGGAAATACTATTTATTAAAAGCAAACAAAATACATGTAAACTGAATATTTATAAATAAGGTCTTAATCACTGTCATAGCTAGAAGCCAAAGAACAATGACTTTTTTGGTTGTAATGAGCTCGGTCTGATACGGAAAACACGATTCTTAAAGGAAATGTTTGTAGTATTCTTATGGATTTTTTAAATACAGCCATGCATATGTGTGAGACCTAATTATGTAGAAAGCTACAGCCAAGAACAGAAGGCAGGCAAGAGGACTCTGTGTTGGAAGAATGGGTGTGTTCAGACCAGCTGAAAACTAGAAGGTCTAGCTTTGAGAATTTAAGGCAGGCTTGAGGTCTTCTGCTCATCAGTCACTGCAGGATGTGGAAAGAAGATGTAGAAGTATGAATACGGCTATTTGTAATAAAAATAGAATTGGAGACCTGTGCTGCTTTCTGAATAATTTGTTACCACCTTGGAGGGGCATATGACTTTCCCTGAAGTCATACCAGAAGTTTTTTCTGGATTTCTTTGGGACTGTGTTTGGATTTCCCCCAAAATAGGGGAGCATCTGAATCCAGGATTGTCATGTCTTAAAACTTTTTAGGAACTGCTCATTGGACTGGCTGGGGCAGTTTTAATTTTCTTCTAAAGTTTCCTGACGCTGTTTTAAAATTCAAATTACACTGGAGTTGCATTCCTGTTTGTTTTTGTTTTGCATTCCAGCTCAGTTGTTTTGCTTCAGTGGTTGAGATCTTATTAAGAATGCCTGAACATGATTTACTACTATAGTATACTGTAGAAGCCTGTAACTTCTCTTTCTCACAATTTCATTTACAAAGTTAAAACCCTTTTTTTTTAATCTCCCTATGGGCTGAAGATAAGCAGTTCACTGACCTGTGTGAATGATGTGATGGTTCCAGATCTTTAGGAGCTGAAGTTTTTTAAACTAATGTGATACTCACAATCTTCAGTCCATTCCCCTTTCCACATACACAGATACACATACACTTAGCTCACAACAGTGAAGACCAAGAAAAAAACCACTTTGATGAGTTGTGTTCTGCCTCTTTACCCATGATTCTTTTCATTTCTAAGATCTTGAAATTTAAATCTTACTCTGATGATTCTTGATTGTCTGTGTTAGAGATTAAAGTAGGATTATTTTTTTTTTTAATTTGCATTTTAAATTTTAAAGGATTAATCTTTGACATGCAACTTGAAAGTTCGGAAGCAAGAAGTAAACTTTGAGGACAATATGGCAGTATTCTGGAAGACTAAAATGCCTGGGTTTAAAATTTCAGAATATCTGGCACATTTTCAGTGCTGACTGTAAAAGGGAGTGTGCCTGTTTCTTATATCCATTTATGCATACTATTTTGGGGCTGAGAGACTAGGTAGTAGTTTATTCTGCATGCTGTACACATGTGCAACAGAAATATTGTTTTGCCCTAAAAACATTAAAAAATTAATATGGGACAAGACACCAAACACAGTTTTAATCAAATGATGGAGGATGAAAAAACCATGCTTGCTGGACTTTCTTCTGTCATGCATGAATACAAGCAGGACCTGCAAACCTGCTTTCCAGTTCCTTTTCAGGGTCTCAGTGTCATTAATGTGTTTGTAGCTATTCTGTATATTTTAAAGACAAGCCTCAAAATGTATGGATTGTTTACTTTGGTGATAATTTATATTTCAGAACAAACATCTGAGGCTTTCTTGCTTATTTATAAGAAAGATGTATGATACTTCCTTGTCAGTTCTGTGAGAAATTTCAGTTTCCATCATGAATCTATGGAAAGGAAGGCTATAGTATAACACGAAGTCTACATAGCAGTTTCCTGTAATTTTTAATGAGAAATATTTAAATTGCAGCACATGTATTTTTAACAAGATATTCTAAGCCTGAGAATGACTACATTTGTTTTAATTTCCACAAAAGAAGGCTCTGTTTTCAAAGTTTTATGATTCACTTCCCTTAGGAAATGGCTTTAAAAGTCTTTATTAGAAAATAAATCCAAATTCCTTCTATACAAACTACTGCTTCTTCTCCAGATGAAGAAATGCCAGCACTCATTGCTTGGGAAATATACTGGAACATCAAGCTTCCTATTATCCTGGGACTGACTGAAATAAAAAACAGCATCAGATGTCCAGCTGTTGCTAAGCTGAAAACATAAATATATCAGAGTCCTCTCTGTCATCTTGTGACAGGAAAATTTATAGCAAGTTTGGTTATTATCTAAAACTGATTGCTTGATAACCTACCTGAACAGTTTCTAGGGAATTCGGTGCATATCTGCTTAAAACCTTATATCAGTAATTTTGAAAGATATTTTATAACGTCTTGCACAATAAATAAGGCTTACCGTAGCCCTGAACATATTTTTATTGGGTGGGAACCAGATCCAGCAGTCACATGTTTTCTACACACACTGTGCCAATGCATGCTTGATACCAACAACTAAAGTTAAAAGAAAGGAGTGTGGGTCAGAGCCTTCCAATCAACATGCCAGAATTATAAACCCTTATAAACATCTGGAGTTTCACAACTGGGTAAGATATATGCAGACTTTTGGACTCCAGTATTATTTTTGTATTTATATCCTTACTTTGTAAAAAGATCTGTATTTGTTTACATCCAGGTTTTGGTTTCCTACTTTCTTTTCTTGGTAATCATAAGATTTTTTAGCAATTGTCTGGCAGTAAAAACACAGAAAAGAAAAATCTGCTCTAAATGCAATTCACTGTGGCATCCATTCATTTAAAATGTTATATTGTCAGTATTACTTCTAGTATTTTTGCTAAGCTTTTGCTAAAATTCAACATCTTCACCTTCCATCAGTAAAGAAACAGCCACAGACTTCAGTCTCTCAAACCACTGTGTCTTAGTTGGGTGAGCAATATACGCTACGTCTGCAAAAAAAACAGGACAACTGTGTCACTCAGAGAACTGGGAATGTTTCTGATTTTTGACAACTGTTTCTGTCACAAAAACTGTTTTCTGGTGCCTCTGTAAATTTTAGCAGTCTGACCAGTGGAGCTGGTTGGGAGCTTTCCAGCCTAACATTGTTTTCTTAGAAAATGCTGGCTTTCAAAAAGGCATCCATTTGCTAGAGAGGGTCAGTTTTGTCCACACTCTTAAGTCAATGTTAGGATTGCTTTTTTTTTTTACTTAAGGGGGAATATTTTGTCATTGAAATGTCATTACGTTCTGCTTGATGTTTTCTCTAGGAAAGCTGATATTCAAAATCCAGTTTCAAAGCATAACATGAAACCTTTTGAGTGGCTCAACTCCCAAATAATTATTATTTTTTTTAAATCAGCAGTCTTGGAAGCTCATTTTTTAACCTGATTTGAGATAAGGGAAGAAGTCAGTGACTGGAAAACTGCTGTAGGACAGAAGAACCACCTCTGTCCCGGACCCCCATGTTAGCTGCAGGCAGCTGAAGCTGTGAGACCCGTCAGCAGGGCTGGGTGAGACCATGTGTGCCCAAGGCACGGCTGGGAGCCACAGGCTGATAACATCTTCCCATTAAGCTAATCACCTCACCCCATTCTTCATTACTCCGTCTTACCCTCTGAAAGCTCTCATCACACCACATGTTCTCAGGGAAGGAGCTCTGGACAAAGAAAAGGAGGGAGAGGCAGTGTGACAGGCAGAGACACAGGACAGGAATACACGTAGCCTTCACCAGGGAGGGAAAAGCCACTGCTGTCCCTGAGCTTCAGTTCAAAGAGGGTTGCAACTAGCATTGTCATTCCACCCTATCAGACTAAACTTGTGTGAGGAGGTGATCAAAGTGGCAAACAAACTTAAACTGTCTTTGGGGCTGATTCCTAATCTCACTGCCAACTCTCTCTTCTTTATTTTCATGTTTTCTTTTAGATCCCCGCGGAAGGATATCCCATGAACAAAATGTCAGCTTTCAGCATACGAAAACAGTCTCCTAATCAAAGCGGTAATACTAAGTCTCCTTCATTTTCTGCTCTCAGGGCACTTAGAGGTTGAGGCACAGCCTCCCTCCTTTCTAAGCATTACCATGCCCATTGCGCAGGTCCCTCACAGGGCATGCCGCCACTCTTGGGCAGTGACGGGCTGGTTATTACATTCACAGTATGACCGTCTTCAGCTGTAAAGCTAGCCGTGTTGTGCATAAGCTTTCGCTGGCAGAGATTCAGGCCAAAACACCGCACTGGGCAGTGCAGTGTGGTGGAGCAGGGGAACCAGGCAGTGTGGTGCAAGATGGTGGTTCCCTCCACTGAGGCCTGTGCTTGCTGTGGAAACTCCACAGGAGCATGGTGTCTGGGGGGGCAGTGGGCAGATAGGGCATCCATCGATCTCAGCACCGTCTCTTTGAGTGACTCAGGAGAAAAAAGGGGAAATTGAGGAAAATTAGAATGGGGAGAGGGGAGAGAAAAGCTATTTAATCATTGTCAGATGGGATTGTTTGTTACTCTGGAGGGACAAAACTTGAGGAGGGCTGGAGTTTGCTTTCTATGCAGTGGGATGACCAGAGGCAAACTGGAAACACAATGAAATTTTCCATTTCCTCAGAATCTACAAAATACTTCTAAAGACTGAAAGATTTTGAGGTGCCTAAGGACCTGGTTTGGGTGGGATGTGCCAGGCCTACGTACAACAAAATGGGTGCCGCCACGGCAGGGAGCAGCTTGGCTTTACCATGTTAAGAACACAAATTTCATTGCCAAAATAAGAAGGGGATAAGCTCCATCTGCCTATGCTCATATGACCTGAATTGTTGTATCAGATCTATATATAATTTTTGAATTGAAACTTAGGAGACAATTCATTAAACCAGAAACAAGTACTCTTCAGCAAACAGAAGGCCTCATGCATTTACAAATTCCTTGTGATGTTTCTTGAAAAGAAAACACGATATATATTCCTTGGCTATCACCTTTATAGATTTCCCAAAACCTTGTTTGCACTAAGCAATTAAGAAAGCCATGATTTCTGTGAAATCCAAGTGATTTTTGGGTAGGTGACAACAGTTATCCTAAAATGCTATTGGAAAAAAAGCCAATATTGCACATGCAAGGTTAATTTTAATAGTTGGGTATATACTGAGTACTACTTGAATATATAGAAATGCTTATGTTATGTTCATGTCATTGAACAGTTTTTCTTCAAGATTCACAGGCGGTTATGGCTGACGGTAGAGCACAGATTAAAATGTACTGCAAACAGCTGAAAGCATCTTTGGCTGAAACTATTAGTATGAAAGAAATGCTGGAATAATTTCCACCCTTCTAGCTGCCATCCGCTATTCTTGCTGTAGAGAAGTTTTATCTCTGGAATGCATATATTCGAACTCACATTTTTCCTGCTTTCGAAAAGTAACTTTTTTTCTCAATGCAAATGATTGTACCAAATTAAAAATATCTAAATATTTATGAGAATGTGATGGTACAGTTTTTGCTCTTGGATCTTCATTCAAATCCTTGATTGTTGAATGTTGCAGTTTTTTGTCTATCTGTATATGTTCATCCAAGTCCCTATTACACCCCAGTCATTGCTAGTACTGTCAGTAGATTCAGAACAGCAAATATTTACAGAAAATGCACTTTATATAGTCTTTTTTGCTAATTACAACTATCTCCATTCTTGACAGTGACTATGAGACAATGCTATTGTTTAAACTGATGGAGGTCCTTCCTCTTTCCAGTTTGCAAGAAGTGTTTATTTTAATAGATATTTTAATGAACCACTGGAGCTATCCAGGCAAGGCTGGGATGTCTTCATTTTTTGAAATCTTTGAAGTCAGATTTTAAGAAATATTTTTAAGAGAAAAAGTAGCTCATTTGGCAGTGAGCAGGCTGATGCAGAAATCATGTAGGAAGGATAGATGACTTTTTGTTCTTAGTCTACTGTGATTGTCAGCACGTTCTTACAAATCTCATCTTTGATATGCCTGTTCATTTTTTAATGATCTCAAAGGGCTGCACGTATGCTGCTCAATAGAAGAAAGTCAAACCTTGGCATCAGGGCCAAGAGAGGCCAACACACATCCATGCTATCACAACCATGATTCTTAAATGTTTGTCACTTCCCTAGCAGCTCAGTCTTGGAGAGAGCTAGTCCAATGCAGAGCCAGAGAATGTTTGCAACTAGGCAAACATGAATGATGAGTCCAATCCTTTAACTCCTTCACTGGCCTTCTTTTATTTGGCAGCATGGACATATCTATAGTGAATTGCAACCGATAAGAGTAGACACAGTTTGGGTAACAGTCAGACACACATTTTTAGACTGAATTTTATCTTGTACCGCAGTGTTTTTCTTTCATGAGAAAAATGTATTTAAAAAAACCAGTCTTGGCCATTGTCACTTAAAATAAATGTTTTGGTGCTCCATTATGATTTGATCTTCCACTCACTGTAGCTATTTGTCATTTTTCATGTTGTCACTGCTGAAGTTCTTGTCTTAAAAGACAGAACTACATTTTCTTATAAATCACAGCAGAATGCCAAAACATAGCTCTGACAAATGACATAATACTGACCGCATTTATTTTCTGTGAAGTGTGGCCTTTCTATACACAATCTTTACGGTCAAATGTCCTTACTGAACACCATATAGTGATGTCTCCTGAAATCTGGTGGTGTTGAACTCCTTTTGCTTGGATGCACAGAAAGTGAGGAATTCATGGAGAAAATAGTGAATGTCTCTAAAGGAAAACCTGAGAAACTCAATATTCTTCATCAGTCAGTTTGTTGATTAATTGGATGTTATTGACAAAGGTTTTGCATATTAAATTTTTCACCTTCTCTCATCTGGGAAAGTTTGGGGCAAGTATCACGATTAAAAAATGGAGTTACTATTTGGGGTCAACTTCTAGTCTTCCATTTCAAAGGGGAATGTTAAAATGACACAACCATATTCCTCCTCACCTCAAACAGGCTGATGATATGAAACTTAGGTGGGGAGAAAAAGAACTGAGAATACTAGACAATAGCCATCAAATAATTTCGCTTGCTTCTGGGCCAAACTCCTCATAAAGGGAAACCAAAGGAGATAAACATCAGCTCTATAATACAGTGAGGAATATATATTCTCACAAATCAAGTGAATGTCGTATTGTTAGTTCCTCAATATGCAAAATATTGGCTTTGTTGGGCACAGATATTTTAGGTTGTTTTCATAAGTAAGGCTTCGATGTTTATACAGCGTGTGAGTGTGCATTTGTCTGTCCCTCCCAACAGCCTCTAACCATACACCAATTTTAGTTAAATTTGACATAAAGATACAGATCTTAAAGGTATTTCTTTTATTAAAAGTTTGGTAACACTAGGTAGCTGGTTAGAAAAGCAACACTGTTCATCCAACCACTGAGTTAAAAGCTTCAGAGGAAGTCTGACCCTTTTGAAAAACCTGAAAATCCACACATGTTGGGCTGGATGAGGGTGGAGGACCATGTGATCATCTCAAGATTGGCTTTAGTTTGAAATTTGCATCCTGTCACACATCTGCAAATAAAAAACCACAGACAACACCCCAGGAAAAAGGATTCATTATTTTTACTTTCCTGGAATTACTGTTTTATGGATATTTCATAATTATCAGATCTGTGATATTTGTTTACATTAAAAATATATAAAGCTGTTTCATATTAAGGATGAAACTGAATTTAGTTTGGTAAACTGGGCTTCTGCAGTCCCTTCAAGGTTGAAGGGATTAAGTCACAAACTTTTCAAGGAAACAGTCTGCACTAAACAGGAGTGATAGCTGAAGATTCAATCTGTGCTAATCTTTTACATATTTCAGCTTTTCTAATAGTACTTCAAGTTTCCAGAATTATCCCATATGTTCATTTTGAAGACATGTTTCTCTGTATTCGCAGATAATAAGAGCCCCTCTGTTGCAATTAAAAGCAGACAACAGGCTACTCATGATATTAATAAACGACGGACTCTTTTGCAAGATAACAGCTGGATAAAGAAGAGGCCTGAAGAGGAAACGTAAGAAAGATATGAAATACATTTCTTCCGTATTTAGTTCAGCATGCCATGTACATTTTCTTGGAGTGTCTACTTTCTCATGGATGGTATCAATTGGAATTACATGAATTTAATCAAATAACTATTATTTGCTTATCTTGATGAAGTATTGATTGCTTTTTGGAAGTATTAATTTGCTGGACTTTCACTATGTTTTTCATTGGGACTTTTGAGCACTGAGCATTTAATGAGATGTCAAGCTTCTGCTCTACAAGGAAAATCCCACTTTTCATATATTTCGGTTGCAAGAATACGATCTGACTTTTTCTTTTTACAAGCATGAAAAATATAAATCTTAACAAGTTCTTTTAAGGAGCTGAAGTCAGAATCAATTGAAACTTACTCTAATGCAAATTAGGACTAGTATTACAATAGAAACTCCACCTTGAGACCAGACCCTCATCATTTGGTCCATGAACAGCACATAGAAAGAGATAATTCTTACTGCAAAATATCTGGAGTCATCTAATGTAGAGATCTGTAGCTGGTTATGGTGCTAGTGGACAGCTGTGAAATTTGATTGAGCATAGTAATCTTTTGCCAAGAAAAAATATTCTGTTTTTAATATTCATATTTTAACTAACCATTGTCTTTCTTTTGCTTGCAGTGCTGATGAAAACTATGGAAGGGCTGTGCTTAATCAATACAAATCGCAAGATAGCCTACACAGGTACAGTAGAGTATCTGAACACCTTTCTAATGAATGCCAAAGAAAACTGAGTATCCTTTTACTATTTCCTGTTTATAGCAGCTTGCTTTGTTCAATTTTAGTCTATATATTTCCACTGTAAATCTGACTGACGTCAACAAATTGTTAAGTCGATCATTGCAATGGATGCAGAGTTGGATCTGTTGACACCTGGATGGCCTGAAATCTTGTATGATACTTTAATTCTAGACTTACATATTGTTTTATTGGTGATGAGTTTTTTAATAATAAAAACAGTGATCAAAATGGCATTTCTAACCTTTTTTATGGCAGTAGCACAAATGAAAAGGAAGATCAGAAGGCTGTACTTGGACGATACCAGTCTGATACTACCTTGGACAGGTAGGGCTCTTTTCTGTATGTATTGAATTTTGCGATTCTTATATCTGTGAGAGGTCTTAAAAATGAAAGCATGAATGAAATCAGTGGGTTTTAAATGTTTTGTTATTTATTAAGTGTCTAAGTAGAAGACTTTGAATTATTTTTGCATGAATTGCCAATAAGAAAAATGGAAATATGATTTGAAAAAAAGATTCTTTAGATGTCTTGCTCTTCTTTTTCTGTATCAATTTCTGTGTATTCTTGTAGTCATAAATGTAAGTATCTCTGCACAGAACTCCTCCCCAATTTCCTGCTTTTCAAACTATAAATTAAAGTCCTATCTCCAATAGTTAAGCACAACATGGCTAAACTCCTAGTTCTTTGCAAATCCTTGCTGCCACTTCAGACCATGATCAGTACAAATATCAGAAACATATGCTTATCATACAGGTGCTTAATTTGAATGTTCTTTTCAGCCTTGACGTCTATTAAGTTAAGACATGACCATGCATGTGTTCGCACATTCTTTCTGCATTGCATCTTCAAAATTCAGCCCCCATTAACATCTGGTATCCACAACATGCTGAGGCTATGAGTACCAGTATTTAAATGCAAACTGCAGGAAAAGTGCACTTGTTTGGTTGGATCTTAGCACTGTGTTATTTTGTCTGATGATCCTTACTTCTGTTGTAAGAAACAACAAAAAACTTTTATGCAAAGTTTACCTTCTCCATAGAAGTCTGGAACAGAATAGGCTACAGAGCTGTGTGATATCACCCCTCCTGCTGTATTTATTCACTCATCATGAGGAAGCCATTCTGTAACTTGAATTTACCTATTGCTCTTCTCTGTATCTGTTCTATTTCCATATTAGTCTTTTTGATCTTTGAGGTCCAACTCTCCATGCAGGTGTTTAAGATGGGCACACACCTTTTTTATATAGAAGAGTATAACAATGACTTCTGGTTCATTTGCTGCTCCTTCCCTTGTACTTCATAATATTGAATTTGCTCTTTTGAGTGCTGCTGAGAATTGAGCGTTCATTTTCATAACATTATCTGTATAATTCCAAGACCTCTTTCCTCAGTGATAATAGCTGCTTCAATCGTTTTCCTTGGTAAGCTTTACTTTGCATCTAAGAAAAGTGAATGTCATCTGCCATTTTAGAAATCTGACACGTTACCAGATGACTTCTGAAAGCCTTACCAGTCGGCGTTTGTTTTGACTACCATGAGTTAGTGTCCTTGGCAAGCAATATCATCTCACTCTCCTTCCTTTCCAGATGATTTGTGAACATATGGAAAATCACGGGTCTTGTACAGATCCCTCCTTCCACTGAAAAATTGTTGTTTACTCCAAAACTTTGTTTCCTACTTTTTAAGCAATTATTTTTACATGAAAGGATCTTCTCTATTACCACATAGGGGATCAGTTTATTTAAGAACCCTTAAAGCAAATTTCTATGAAGCTCTTTGGAAATTCAAGTAGAATATATCAGCTATGTCTCTTATCCATATGCTTATTGAATTCAAACTTCAAAACAAATTTTAAGACTTGATTTTCATGCTTTGAAGCCGTGATTACTAATTCAGAAGTCATAGGACAATTCCAGTTTCTACAGTGTCGTTGAACAACATTGTACTTTTGTACTCTATCTGTCTATGTCTTTTTGCTTTATGCTGAGGTATTAAGATATCTGAATTATTTTAGGTTGTAAGCTGACTGTGTTTTCATGTACACGAATATCTAACATAAAGAGTTCTTAATATGCAGCAGATGACAAAGAATACAAAGAAAGAATTGTAGGTGTGAATATACACTTCTGATAACTAATGTGGAATATGTCTGTAAATGGAGTGAATAATAATGGTTCTACCTTGAAATTATCACAATGAGGAAGCTGCGGTCAAGTTGTTTATTTTTCCTCATTCATCACTGATCTTCTAAGAACTGTTGAATATAACCATTCCAGGATTAATTTGTGCACACCCATTGCCAGCAGGCACTTCTGTAAGGGATGACCACGTGTTCTATATCTCATCAAACCTGCAACCTAAGGCATAAAAGGGTGTGGTGATGTATTTGCTCTTAGCATCTTTTTTGTAGCCTGCAGTCAAATTTGGTACTTCTGCTTCCTTTGTGAAAGATGTTCTCCACCAGGTACAATTCCCTTATTTTCTTATAAATTATTTCTGGTAAGCATAACCATAGTACAGAAGTCTCCAAGCTTAGCATAGTCCAGTTTGCAGAACAGCTATATTGTTTAGTTGCCTGTGTGAAAAAGAAGCATTCTTTTTTTTTTTTTTTCCTGTTCAAAACTAAAAGGTAGAGTTGAAAATGGAGCATGTTCCTGGAATGTAGAATAAAGTCTAATGAACTGCTCCTAGTAGACAGTTCTTGGGAAGAATTAGCTTGGTATTGGAGATCTCTCAGAGCTGTTTACAGAATTATTGTAAGTCATGTTGTCTATATCGAAAATAACTTTTGTTTAGCTAAGATGCTGTAAAATGCTAGTCGTCTATCTTCCAAAAGGTCTTTAGGAGTTATCTGTTTTCAAGCGAGATGTTGGAACATCTTTCCATAATTCTACTTTGCATCTCTTCTGACCATGACTGTAATATTACAAAAGACAAGGATTTAAAGAATCTGGACCTGCATGAATGTCTCTTCAATAGCTAGTTTTCAAAATGGCAAAATAATCATTGGAATTCTGATTAAAAAACATATTCAGAAATAAAGTGTTTGAGAAATATAGGAGTAATTTTGAGTTCTTCATTTCATGTGTAAATGTGACAGTGAAAACGTATCTAAAAGCCATATTAAGTACAGCTTTTTACTTCCTGGACACTGCCATATCCATGTCCAAAAAAGGTATTGTTTGATAGGAATTTTGCCTAACCCAATATCTACAAAATTTCTAATATTGAAACATCAGTTTCAATATTAAGGACCTGGGAGAGATAGTGCCGATGACTACATGCAATTGCACCATCGGTTGCAAGCACAAGAGAATACCAAACACTGTTAACAGAAATCCATAGCATGATCGCAGTAGGTGCACATATACTGGCATGGAGATGTACACATCATAACTCAGATAACAATTGCATTGTGCAGATGATCACAGACAGCCTTTCTGGATAGGAGGAAAGATTTTATTTATCCTTTCATTTCTCTCTTATTATTAGCAGCTAACTAAATATTTAACAAAAGATGAGAGAAAACTTGAAAATCAGATAGAGATGATGAAAATTACATTGCTATTTTTCCAAGTACTAAATTCTACTAAGTTCAGAATAGCTTCCAGGAAGAATAAATCCTAACTGCATTTATAGCAATTAGATCTGAAGAGATGGGACTGAAGCAAATGGAACACTTTCATTGTCTGCTTTAGTAATAATCTAATCCTTTGGAATGGTAGAAATTATTAGAAAAGGAACGGAGAGCAAACCAGAAACCACTGTTCAGTCATGAAATGAAGCTGTTTTGCAGATCTTGAACACTGTATGGACTATTTCACTTATGTAAAGAAACAACAATAGAACGAGAAAAAATAAAGAGGAAGGTGATAAAGGATGATCACAGGGATGGAATAGCTGTCATATGCAGAATGTCTGAAAAGACAAAGATTCATCAGCTTGGAAAATACTGATATAGGGAAAGTGAGTAAAGAAAGACTATTTTCTATTTTTTGCAGTGCAAGAATGAGGAGGTACTCTATAAAATGTTTAGGTAATGATTTAAAGGAAAAGAAAAAACAGAAAAAAAAAAGAAACAAAGCAAAAAAGAAGAACATTTGTTTTACCCTTAACATATGTATTAATTGTAGGAGTCACCACTACAGGATATTGTGGAGGGCAGAAATTTAAATTGGTTCAGAAAAACATTAGGTGGGTAAATGGATCATTGATCCATTTTTTGTTTGTTGGAGACAGCATTCTGGGTGCAAACAGAAGATACTCTTCGACCACTGCTTATCACAAGTTGAAAAGTGGTACAAGGAGAATTCAACACTATACTTCCCTTCCTCTCACTTTTTTCAAAGCTTCTGCTACATTGGGCAGCACCGGAGTAGTATGCTAGATGGTCCCTTTAAGTCTTTAAAATGAGCAAATACAGAACTACGTAAGGTTTTGTGCTGAAATTTTGAAAATACAAAATGATATGTGGAAGAAATGCTGTTTCGTTGGATAGTTGTGAATTGGAAGAAACGCTTATGTTTGTATCTGCAGTAACGCCAGCAAGTTTAGTGAGACCTCTAGTGATCTTTTGAGTAACTGTAACTGCTGGTCACAGCCGCAAGCTGCCCGTTACATGAAGTGGTTATTTGCACGATCAAATTTAGGATTTGAAAAAGGCCTAGAGCACATGCTGGTGCAGATTGTATCGCAGAGCTCCCTTGAAGACTTTTCATTAAATACAACGGTATTCTGTGACACTTGGCTGAAGGCAGGATACAAAATGGTTTGTACATAATATTAGATTATAGTTTTAGGAATAATTATTTTGTATCTATAGCTTCAGTTTATAGATAGGAATACAGAATGAAAACGAAGTAATTTCTAGATGTAAATAAGTTGTAGCTCAAAATGTGTCTCAGTTGTTTTAATCAAGTGTTTAAGATAACCCTCTAAACTTAGTATTTGTAATCTATTTCAATGTACATCACTTTATATTTGAGCTTTTCAGAGTCTCCCTGTTCTTATTAAAGGATATTCCATAGATGGGAAGAAAGTTAAAATAAAATAAGTACTTAAGCTGTTTCAGCTAATATAGCTACATGGTGCTTTCTGTGAAAATTCAGAAGGGTTTTAGGCAACAACTGTAGATTCCATAAAGGGCTTGAAAAATCACGTGATTGCTTCTTAGTGCAAATTTCATGGCTTAATAAAATAAATTCAAGCACAAATAGTCTAACTTCTTTGATAGATGTTATTCCTGTAGGTCAGTACCATGCTTTGTCACGGATTTTACACCAGAGTATTTCCAAATCACACTGATCTCTGGAAGCTGTAAAGAAAATGAGACTGTTGCAACTCGCAAGAGATGGTGAGGGGAAGGGAAAGGGAACAGTTTATGTACTGCTGGACTGAATATTGCTTTCTTTCTAGTATTCTAGTCTAATTCAAAGGAGATGTGATAAATTGTTAACAACAATGAGGCTTGATACTGTATATCAATTAGTGTTCGAACATAACCTTTTAGAACAGTTTTTTTTCAGTAAGCTACTTAGAATCTTCAGATATTAATGCACTAAATTTATATTAATTCAGCTTCTGTTCTATACCTATTTTGATACTGGGGAATTTCTAATCTGTACACAGGGAAAAGTGATACTGTATCTTTTAACTTCATTTAAAGTGTTTTGTTTTTTTTTAAAAAAATATATCTAGAGTGTGTATTATAAATAATTTTTGTGTTTTGGACAGAATTCCAGCCAGAAGTGATATTGACAAAATAAATAAGTCCCCAACTCTGAATAATAAGCAAAGCAACAGGTATGAGTTTTGGAAACTTTATTGTCTAAGCATTGTGTATTTTAATTTATGATGTATCATTGACCATACATTATCATCTAAGTATTATATGTTATCATACCTTTTGATTACATGTACATACCAAGAATATATAAAGAAATTATTTGTATGGCATATGGCCTAATAGTAGGTATATAGTATGACACCTGGAACGCAGACATCTGTATCTAGGTTATCACATACTGTGTGTGAGTGAGGTGAAAAAGGGTCTTTTGGAGGACAATTCGACTGATGTATCTCAGATACTTTCTTTAGAATAAGATTAATTTTCCTTAAAATGCCTATTTCTCCACATAGATTAGAAGAGAGACCAGCTCAGATTACACATTTACTCAGCACAGCAATTGTTTAATAAACACACTATTTTAAATACAAAAGAGAAAGAAAAAGATGTTTTGAAAACTGTTCAGTGTGGGTATGTTCTAGAGCTCTATATGCCTCTGCATGAATTCTACCGAATATAATATGTATTTCTGAGGAAAGACTACATGAAAAAATTCTAATTAAGGTTTTCAGTAGAAAATGCCATTGAACATTGCCAATGGAAAACTTGAGTACCAAAACATTAAATTACTTTTTTTGGTAGGCAGGCTAACTTTTTTTTTTCAGTAGAAAACTTTTCTTTTGTCAGAAGGGCAGTCTTTTGTTTAAAACAGGTTGAAACCAATTTTTAATTTAATATAATTTAGCACAAAATTTTTGACATGTTATTAAAGAAGTTGATTGATTCAGAGATGGCCACTTTATATATGTAATATGACTATGCAACACTAAAAATTTATTTTCTAAAGAACTTACAGATCTTACCTAATGGAAATTTTTATTTAAAAAATGAAAGTCAGAAGAGCTCAGCCACCATACTTATAAATGTGAAGGGACAAATATATCACTTTGTGCCTTCATGAATGTCAATAGTGTTCTATCAGTAATAAATTATACTGAATATAGTTGCTAGTGAAGACTAAGGACAGCAATTAAATGTCATCTTGTGAAGTGTTGAGATATTACTCTGAAGAGCAAATGAGTATCTGGCATTTAAAGTTCAAGTGAGGTCATTCTTTTAGATTATAATTTTGCACCATTATGTTGTAAATCATGGTAATGATGACACATGAAACATCATATAAATTGGATTTTATGTTATTTTGTCTGGAGATGATTTTTTAATAGACCTGCCATGAATTCTGAAATGGGACTTAAGTGAGACTTAAATGGTATATACTTTTTCCTGCCAGAGAGCAATAAAATGATTTGTAAAGCTCTGTTCTTCAGTTACTCTCACTACATTAAGAATTGCAGAGGACAAGGCAACGACTTTTTGATAAACTTTATAAGAAAAATCACTGTCTTGGAATTTATATAGTTAGGAGCATGAGGAATACTGGCTCTTTTTACAGGCATATCATAAAATAGAGCAGCATTGACATAATTGAATAAAAACCATAAAATTTCAAGTATGAAAAATAAGGATATTAATATTTTAGTGGTTGGAGATGGAAGTGTAGGTACAGAAGTCAAGATTTTAAGAAGTCAGAAATTACTTTGGATATCAAGTAAAAATACATTTGTTCTCTAAGGATCAGAATCCTTTAAGGTGTCCCAAACCTTTTTTCCTTTGACGTATTTCCAAAATTTCAGTTGGCATATATAAACATAGTCATACCATTTACCATACACAGTTGTATCATTCTGATAGTAAAATTATGATATTTTATCATTGGGTTTTTTTCATTTAAAATGATACACCTATTGAAGATAAATGAATTAAGTATATTTCCTTAACAGACAATCTTGGACTCCTAATGCAGCATCCACAAACACTGCTGCAACATCTCCAATCAAGAAAAAAAGGTACTCATTACCACCATTGCTTCGTTGCCAGAGGATGTGTAGCTTTCTATCAAACCTCAGTCATGTATCATAATTACAAAAAAACCCCACATTACCAACTTTCTTCTCTAGCACATTCTAACTCCTCAGCAAACTTAAAGCATTAAACTTTTACATGCTCTGGCTTTTAACATGGGAGTACTGTGTTGCAAGGTTGCCTCTGAAGAGCCAGTTTTGTGAGCTTGGTGGACATAGCACAACTGTCGCTAACTCTTTGCTGCAGTTCCTAACTCAGCTAGTGTACGCCTTTTCAGTGTCCAAATTTGAAGTATTGTAGCTCACTGTAACTGTGAAATCTCTGATGCCAAACTTGACCTTGTCCTGTTGCAGTGTATATGAACCACATGGTTTTCTGCATGATACACAGCTGGCTTTAAAGATACAGATTTCAGATATTATCTGGGCAAGGATAAAAACAAGGTCTAGAACAAAGGACTAAGTTTTTAGTTTAAATTGGTCACAGCCATATTTTTATGCATCCTTCCCAGCCATGAATTCTGTCCATTTGTGATTTTCTCTGCCATATTTCATGCATAAAAATTGTGATCGGTAGAATTATGAAAGTAGAAATTAAAATGTCATCATTTTCATATTAACAGCCCTGCTTGTTCAGTGGAAGTTTACTGTGTTTTCAGCACAGTAGTTCTCTTCAGGCTCTTTGAAGATGTGAAAGGCCATCACTGATTTGCACTGTTTATGGTGCACTTGCTTTTTCCTCACAAACAATTGCTGGATTGAGAGTTTTGAGGGGGAAAAAAAAAAAAAAGAGGAAGAACTGAAAGTGCTTGTGATGTTTATGTGACCTCTAATACCAGCCTGAATGTGTTTCTTGGGTTGATACTTGACATCCTTTCCTTTGTGCGTTCCGTCTGGTTGTCCTTCTCATGAATGATCTGTTTATTTGTACCATTCAGGTTGCAGAAAAGACCACCTAGAGTCAGAAAATACATTTTTCACAACAGTAATTAAAATTACTATATTATTTCCAATTCCATTCAGTTGTCTGGAAAAAAAAAAATCTAAAAAGTATCTGCAGTATCTGCAATATATATCTTAAATTGTTACTAAGAAAAGTTCTAGGTATTTCTACATCACTTCTAACATTATAACATTCATAGTATGCCCTTCAGCCTCATAGCATTAAACTAATACTCAAAAATTTTTTTGTTCACACTGACAGGCAATCGTGGATGCCTCCACCAGTTTCGAGCAGTAAGACCACGACAGAAACAGTGGAAACCAAATGGTAAGTACTGATAATCGCTAATTATTTCCTAATTCTTGGCTAGAGCTGATTTTGGAGTGAGCCAACAGGGTAATTCTTTGAGGGACTGAGTTTGATGGCATGGGAAGAGAAAGTATCCCATGCCTAAATACTTGTTTGGGCTCTTGGCAGCTTGATGGCCGGTATTAACTGATGTCTGAGTATATGAAGTGCCAGTGACTTGAGGTTACATAAGTGCTCCCCAAATTTTTTTGCAGTACTTGTATGCTTTCTTCATGGTTTTGCTTTGGACTACTCCAGTTAGCTCCCCACTAGACAAATCTGCTATAGAGCGACTGGCCGTAATGGCAGGAATCTATTGGTGCCATTTGGTCTGACAGCCAGGAGCTAACCGTGGGCCCTTTTGGTTAACAGTGTGGACAAAACCTCAAGATCTGCTTAGTCAGCTCTCAGTAAGGTGTCCAAGAAGTAGTTTAGAAGAAAAGCTCAAGCTAAAGTTACTTACAGATGGATGTTTGATGTTTATTTCTAAAGTTGTGGTTGCTTTCTGGCAGATCAGAGAGAACAGAGAACATTTCTTGTGCTCTCATCTAAAAGCAGAATATGAATGGTTTAAAATATTCATAAATGAACTTTCATGATATTCTTTGCTTAGGTCCCCTATTGGCTGCAGCATGACCTTGTACTTCCCTAGTTTTAATCTGGGAAACTTCCAACACGAGTCTCATGCATATCAATGACGAAAATTAAATTAAACAGGAATGGATGGATACATCATCGTATTAGGTATAATTCCTTGGTAGACCATTGTCTAGGGAGTTTATGGAATCTCTGTCACTGGAAGACTTTAAGATGAATCCTTAAAACTGAGTTTAGTAATTATTTTTAATCTTATTCTGTGTTTGCTACTGTCCATCTCTTTGGCCAAGATTCCAAGTCACTCACCATCCAGCAGAAAGATACCTCCTAGAAGCTAAAGTTTATTTTCTTTTAAGTCATTTCTTACTAGATGTTTTTAATATGTCAACTATGATGAATTTATCGGGCTTCATTTCAATATCTCACTATGATCATAGTAATTTTGAAAGTATAGGATAGAATGCATGTTCTATATGTCATCTGCCCAGCTTCCAACAGAAAGCTGGGATTCCTGTGTCCTTCTCGACACCAATTGTCCAGTTACTCCTCTACTCTCATAGTTCAGAGAAGACCAAAATACAGACATACTCTTTCTGAAGTTTTTGTGACCCTTCCTGGATCGTCTAACAATGATATCACCAAGGACAGTTGGTTAGACAGTGATGGGCATTAAATGACTAAGTTGTTTATCTTTTAAAAGTGCTTTGAAGATGTGAAAGCTATTTCAAATTGTGAATATTACTATAACTAATAATAGTCACCAAAGGAAAGCCTTTTACTTGCCTGTGAGTTTCAGGAAATAAAGTGCTATGCGTAGATGCTAATAACCACAGTTTTAAAAGGTCACTATCAATCTTAAAGATGGTTGGAGCAAAGAGCTGTGTCTTTTCTTCAAATATGAGAATGGCTGATTCTTCTGCTATCCTCAGGAAGGGACTTCAGCAATCATGGGTTTGTGGGTTTTTTTGGTGAGGGTTTATTATTTACTTACCTTTTCTGATTCTGAGATCTGACTCTAGCCTTCTATAGTCAAGCATGACATGTAAACTCCTAGAGTGCTTTGTCTCAGTTCCAAGCTGATTAAGCACACGTTACAGAAGACTTAAAAGAAATTGCAATTGAAGCTAAGAATACAAGCAACTTGCTGTAATCGGTTTTTCGTTGTGAATTGTGTGCTGAAAATGAAACACTGTTGATCAGAGTGATTGATTGGAGAATGTTAATTGAAGCATGATTGTCTTAGTACCATATAAAGAATACGATTAGAATTTAGTATTATGCTACTTGAGTTAAACATGTTATGTTCCACATTAAGAAACAAAGAAAAATACAATCTTGGAAGGAAGGAAAAGTAAAATTAGTTGTTATTGATTGATCTAAATTCTTGCAAAGAGCTTCGATACTAGCATTTTGCTACTTGGTTTCTGAAATGTTTACTCTTTTCTTTCTCTAGGATCACTTCAGAAAATTCAGAGGTTCCAACGATGTATGTCTTGCTTACTTTGCTTCTTAGTAGATTTAGAGATGAAACACATGCCTGTGCACAAACCTTGATTATTATTTTATACTTATTTATAATACAAAGACTGTATAATTTACCTGGGAGGGTTCCTCCATAGTCAGAAGCACATGAAAAAGACTTCTTTCCTTGCAGAAATGTAATTATTTTCACATAGCTTAGAACATTTCTTTGGCTATTTATTCAAATTGAAAACCTAACTGTAACTGCATAAAAAATTAAGAACTGCTTCACAATTTTAGTTTCACAGTTATATGTGTTGCTAATACAAATACTCCTTTATATTAAACTGATGCTTTAAAGAGAGAGTGAAAAAGAGGGTGTGACCAAAGTGAAAAAAAAGGAAGTGGTAAATTAAAAAGCTATGCACATGCAAAGGTTTATAATAGAAGGCATTAACATAAGATGTAAAGTACTCTAAACTTACTCAAGTGTCTGCAAAGGTTGCTCTAATTTTAGAAAATAAATTTATTAAATTAATTCATTAATTAAATGTACATTTCACAAGGTCTAAATTAGGAAAAGATTACTTAACCAACCTGTAATTTCATGGCTTACAATTAAGACAGCTACACAACTTATTATGGTTTAGTTTCCATCCTAATAGAAAGAGTCTCTAAAGAAGCATGTAACTCTCCTTTGCAACTGTGTAAGCCACCTTCTCCCGTTCTTATAATTTCTTATAATTTTATTATTCCTGTAGTGAACAATCTGGCTGTTCACATGAATAAGTAAAAATAGGAAAGTGTAATTGTTTACTTATTCAGTTTTAAAAAAATCTGTACTTTGCTAAATAAGTAAAATGTTAGTCTTTATTAAATAAGTAAAATTTATATAGTAGGTAGTAGAAAAGTATTTAAAAGTGCCTTTATTACTAAAATAGTTTTGAAACAGTAATGAAACTCCACTTTATTTCTATGTCTATACTAGTGAAACAGCTAGTCTTGGAATATTAATTTTTCAAAAGTCTCAGTGGACGCGGTAATCAAGTGAACTAAAGCATTACATAGCTCTTTATATATAGCTCTTTATATAGCTCTAAATATATATATTTATATATTTCATATATATTTAAAGGAAAAAAATGGAAAAATTTTCACAAAGAAAATCCAAACTCACGGTGGTTACACTTGTAAGAAATATAATATCTACAATGATAACCTATTTAAATGATATAATGTGTTTCCAAATATCTTCTTGTGCCTTAAGCATGTTTTCACCACACCTGTTGCAGGGCTGCCTTTTCATCAGAACAGGTGACCTCTCAGAAATTAAAGACTGATGTGGATGATGAAGCTACAACAAGGTAAAACAAGTAGATATAATCTAAACGATGTTTTGATAAACATTGATAAATGTGATAAATGTGATTATTTAGTACTCAATTTGTTTGATTTCCATATTTGACAGCTCATTTGACATGGTGTCTGATAAATGCAGCATTTATCTAGTCCTAACCATTGGCCTAGAAGTATAAACTTTGAGTTCCATCTCATTGACTTGCTAAGTTATCGCAGATGTTTCATTTTTTATTCTTTCAGTCTGTCTAGCCTGCATCTTAAAAAGCAGCATGTAGATAATTGCTGCCAATATTTGGAAACAGATGAATTGCAGTAATATGGATCATATAGTATATTTTCTTTGGTCTTCAATAAATTGTGGGAGAGGTAATATCTACACACTACCATGTATATAAAAAAAGAACAATTTGTGCATTGTAGTGTTAACATTTTAAATAGTAAAAACCCAACATATGCCATTTAGTGAGACAAAATTAGTATGTTTAAACAGATGGACTTGTTCTTGTGGTATGAGTTAGATGGCATATATACTAATGTATCTTGGAAAGTGTACAGAATATCATGAAAACTATTGGTGGAAAAGACACAGAATTTTTTTTTTTTTTTACTGAAATTCCAGCAAATTGTAAGGTTCTTTACTGATGGAGATGTTACATTTTTGAAAACAATCAGCAATAACCACACAAAAAATTTGACTCTGTGACCTTGACCAGAATAAAATGCTTGAATATGCAATTTAAAAGTCAGTGAACTAGAAACAGATTTCTAGGTATGCACTGAGAATTACAGTAGCTCATTTTGCAGTTTTTACCTGGAATTATTAAATGGTGCAGACACTAAAATTAGTTTAAATTAGCTAACTTTATTTAATTTGATTCATAAAGTAGAGTTTTCTGAGGTCTGAAGGCACAGTTTATATAATTTTGAATTATGCCCTCATCCCCCAAAGCCCCTAATATGCATGATCAGTACAAAATAATTTAGAAAAACATCTAAAAAATGTCTGACAGTGTAATCTCTAGGAAAAAAGCAATGTTTCAGTGAAGCAGTTTCCTGTCAACAAATGTGGGAGATCTTAGAGAATTAAAGATGTCACTGTATTAACTAGAGAAGTCACAGACATTCTTCACCCTAAATGCTTGTTAAGGCCTTACTTAATCCCCACCCTCAATCAGTTCACATTCATCATCGCCCGGTGGCTCTCATTACCATATCAAGCTTTGTATTCCTGTCCCTGCATTGGTGGAGAGCTGGAGGAATATTTACTGGTCTACAAGTTTCTATGGTAACATTGCACTGCTACAGCTATTTGTGTCAGTATAGAAACTATAAGTAGCCTGTAATCTTAGTGGGCAAAATTCAGTCCTCTCTGCTCCTACTATAATTCCTTTACATTTGGCTGGTGCTTCAGTTGTCATCCATCTGCTGCTGATGTATTAGCTTCATAAAACTAGAGATTTTTTGTTAAATTTATGCTAGCCAAAAATACATTAAGCAGCTGTCAGCATAAGTGCTTTTTTCTATTAAAGATGTCATATAAATACTATACTTTTGGCAAAAATGATTGTGCCACACAGAGGAAGTAAACAGTTACATGAAAAATATTTCTAGTAACACCAATATTTATTTACAATATTTTATCTTACATCCTTTAATTTCCTATACTTTTATTTAGAATGGAAAGATTTTCAGGTCATGCTTTTTAAAGTCATACTTAATTGATTATTTCGCTTTTGCTCAGGATTCTGATAGGGATGTTAAAGGAATAATGAAATAATTTTAGTATAAAAACAGTGGAAAATGGCAATTGGTTTTCTATCAAACTGGTCAGTGATACAAGGAAAATATTTCAGAAGGGATTTACCCAAAAAGGATGTTAGATACTCTCTCTTTTGGCTAAAAATGTAAGCTTCATTGTGTACTGTTCCATGCAAAGCCTAATGCTGATTCTGTTAATGTAAAAAGCAATTTTTGCATTGTTTTCAAGTACAACAGTTAGATGTGGCATCCATCTTAAAACACAGAATATACAATAATATATATTACATATCTGGAGGCATGGACATATGGACCTCCACCTTTTGGATATGATTAACAGAATGGAATAGGCATCTCATGATTACTTAGGGCATCTATTGGTACCCTAGACAACATAAGTAGGCTAGGATCCAGAAAAAGCAGATAACCATTGTCAAATAATTGTGTATTTTTCAGAGCATAATAGGTCATCCTCAAATCAGGTCTCTTGGTATCTTACAAATGCAGCAATATGAGCAGTGTACTGGATATATACTGAGACATTTTTCTGATTTAATCAATGGGTCTTTTATTCATTGCTTATCAAGTACTTTTTGTATTTTATTTCCATTTCAGTGGAGATCCAAGATTCTTACTCTGCATTTTTCCATTACAGAATTGTAGCAACCATTAAATGAAGGTGTTTAAAAAACTGCATTTTTTAAAGAACCATGTTCTGTGGGCAATCTTGTTCAAACACCTCAAGGGTGTTTAACACAGCTTTAGTCAATCTTTCATTAATGATTATAGTTAGGATGCAAAAATGTATATTTCTATAAAATGCTTTTATATGGGGTTCACTTGTATTCAACTACGCTGCTTCCTTGCATATGATCTATAGAGAAAGTAACAGTATTTGGTACAGTGGGCCACATTTACCAGCGCAGTAACAAAGGTATTACCACCGAAGATGCAAAGATCAAAAATCCACATTTCCAAGAGTTCATAAATTGTAGAAGTAATTAATTTATGTTTTATTTTGCATAGATATGTCAGAATTTGTGTTGGATGTACTTGAGGAGAAACTTTTGAGGTGATAGTAACAGGACCTGTACAGGAACTTACACTGAGATCTCACTCGGCTCTTAAAGCATCCATAGTGAGATTGTCTGCTACCAGTGAATGACTATTAGTCTGTAGAGGCACAGAGTATATTGTAGAAACTTTTACATAAGCATGTCTTTTTGGTACGCCATCAACAGTAGAGTTCGGTTGAAGAAAATGTTTCAGCTGTGTATTAGTATGTATATGGGTTAGAGAGGCAATTTCTAGGGAACAGAAACAAGGAACTAGACTATTTTTCTGACATAATTAAGCAGATTCTTGGCTCTTCAGCATTTTATTTTCTATAAAGTACAGTACACTGAATATTAGTTCTGTATGAGGTTTTCCCATACTGCACAGGGTAATCACCGTAATTGCTCCTGTCAGATAGTAGCGAATTTAGACAATGCTGTAAATATGTTTCTATTATATTCCTTTTTAATAATATTCCTATTTGACCCGAGATGTGTTCCCAGTTTTAATTATAAAAGATAGTGAAAGAACAACTCATTAATTACCTGTGCTTAAACTGTCTCTTGCAACAAGGACACATTTTTCTGTGTCTATCAACATTTAGGAACTCTGAAGAGTGGAAAAAATAAGATACAGATTTTTTTCAAATTATTTAAAAAATATAAGTAAATTGATACCAGCTTGGAAATTTCCAAACCAATGGAATTAAAACCATCATGTCAGGTCTCCTAAATGAACATTTATTGATAAAACTTTTCTTGTTCTAGAACTGCAAAGAGCACAAAATTGAGAGAACAAGTACATATATTTTGAGTCATTGGCCAATTATGTGTTCCCATTACATGAAAAAGAGAAATCTGGTCTATGGAGAGAGACAGGCAATTCCATACAGCCACTGGAAACATCCTAGAGAATTATCTTAGGTTGGAGTAAAGTTTAGATAACCAAAATTAGAAGGCATGACTCCCACTCCAGGTATCCCTGTGTGATTTTCCATTGTGATGTCTTTTTTATTTGTTTTCACTTTTCAGTGAGACCTTCAGGAGATCTCTAAAATGTTCTGGAGGACACTCGTGTCACTCCAAAATGTTGGATGCTAGGATACTGAAACAGAACTCGTGTAGGCATACCCATAATTCAGTAATAGTAACAGGAGCCAGATCTTGCTTTGGCTACAATGACAATTTTTTCTTCATGGTAAAGTGAAGTGGCTTTACACTTTGTAAATCATTTTTGATAGTATAAATGAATACAGTCATTTCTGATGATACATTTTTGCATTTCAGCAGAAGGCACTTCCTACAGACAGGGACCTTCTGCCTCCCAATTCTGACACTTATTCGGCATTCTGTGGAACGCTGGTTTACAGTTTTTCTGTATGCTGATATAAATGATTAGCTGTTGCAGAGCTTATGTGAAGACTTTCAAGCCCATTATTCCTAACTGAAAAGTTAATACAGTGTTTACAGGGCCATTTATATCCTCCAAGCAAAACTATATAACTTCTTGTCCTTTTTTTCAGTGATCTTTCCCAGTCCACCTCCTATAAAACATTCTGATCAACAGCTTCTTCCCCTGTATTTAACTCCAAAATCCTCTGGGCTAAGCATTACACTGGTTTTGGCACAGTATAAATTGGCTTTCACAGTTGACTGCAGACCTCTTCTGTTCCCTCATCCTTGGCTATTACTGATGAAAAGTCTGAATGAGGGCTCCTGGCACTGATTAGTGAGCATAGTGGTGTGGAAGGAAATGCACTCTGCTTCAGAATAAATGCCACTCTTTTCTCAAAGAATTTCTTTATTCATTGTCAGTTATACATGACAAAATCTCATATGGGGACAATAAAGCAGCCATGAATGGCAGATCAAAATTCAGCTGGGCCTATGAAGTTAAGTTTTATCCAGTGAGATGCCTGATATAAATTAATATACTCTAGACTAACTCTTTTGGTTCAGATTTGGAAGGTCCAGTTGGCAATCGGTTGGTTTTGTCGTCTTCTGTGCTGACATGACTATGTCAGAAATGCCCTTAAGGTTTTAGCCAGACTTGGTTAGTGTGGTCTTTGCATATTCCATCATGTCAGAAGATGAAGCTGTTGATCAGAAATCTTTGTAGGAGGTCAACTGGGAGAGATCACTGAAGAAAGGACAGCAGATGCAATTTGTTTGCTATCAATCGCGTTTAGAAA